GTGGGGAGTCTCGGAGGGCGGGGAGAGAGGGATGGGAAGGACAGGAAGGGGCTCAAGAGAGGAGGAATGGAAGAAGAGGATAGACAAAGGGGGAGGAATTGCAGCTGGAAAGAAAGGGTGGGTACACAGCCTGGTTTTCTGGGCTCTAAAGTGTTTACTGAAGGAAACATCATGCCCAGACAGGGAGCCATGGTCTCTGGAAGTGGTCTGACTTGTCCCATTTACCTCCCCCCCATCATTCTCCAAGTGTGGGCTGCAGTGGTGGGCACAGGATCTTGTGCACTAATCAGAAGTGCCAAGGCCACTGCTCCAGGGGCCACCAGCTCAGAGGCCTGGACACTCACTCAGCCTCAGCAGGCTGTTTCCTGCGGGGTCAGGCTGGGAGGCGATGGGAGTAGATTTGGCAGCATCTCCATTGGGCACGACTCCTGAAAGCTTCCCAGGTAATGTGGGGTATTTGTGCTCCGCCAGGAAAGGGCCATCCTGTTGGAAGGAGAGAGGTATTGAATTAGCTGGCAGCCTCAGGCTCAAACCCAGGGAGGGAACCTCTGGCTGCAGGAACAACTCCCTGGTCTCCAAGCATCATTTTTACTCAGGCTGACTTAAAGACCCCTCGGAGAGCATTTGGTCCAGGCCAGGAAGGGGACCCGCGTTCTGAGAAAGGATGAAACTTGCCCAAGGCCACACAGTGAGGCGGGATGGAGGAAAGCCCAAACTCAGGGCTGACTGCAGCTGACTCTAAGAAGTGGAGGCATCTTTTCTCTTATCCTCTTACCCCTTAGAGTTAAGATACTTTAAGGTTACAAAAGCTATAACGTGCTAAACGAAAACACTCCAGCAAGCAACACAACCACATATAGGTGACAGGGAGGTGCATTTAACGTACCTTGGGTTCTCCCATGTGGGAGAGTTTGTTCCCATTGACACTCTGGAATGACAAGGAGGATTTCAGTTATGTAGAGGACAAGAGACCTGTGTTAGTCACAAACAACAGCTCAGGACCAGCTTGAATCTGCAAGGCACATCCCCCCCTCCCTCCCTATCCTTATGTCAGATAATCACCATCCATGGCAGGAAACAGATCACTGTTTAACTCCACAGACAGATGTCCTGGGCAGCTGCCAGTAGTCTGACCATGAGGAGCGGGAGGCACATGACCATGGGAGCAAAGCTACTGAATGGGCCCGTGGCTCCTGCCACCTCCACCTTTATGGTTTTTTACTCTATTGCCAGGGAGGCCAGTGCACTGCTGGAGACCAAGGAATCCTGGGCAGTGGGGCTCAGTGGAGGTGCTCTGTCAGGGCAGGACCCCTTGGTCTCTGATGTCCTCGCTCAAGAGCCTATGACCCTCTCCTCCCGCACAGGGATCATGCACATGGTCAAGGGCTACTCTCATAAGGGGACACAAAGCCCTCCTCATCTTTCTAGACTCTTATGTAAGCTTTTTCTCCAATCTTCTAAATTATCTTGTAGCCCATTTCTAGGGTCATCTCCTTTATTCACATACTGCCTCATTCAGAATCTCCGCAGCACTCCCAGTGCCCTGGGGACACGGGGCCAGTATTCTAGGTCTTCTCAGGCTTGATATGCCTCATGGTCCTGACCTTACCTCCTCCTGCTCCCCATTTCCTAGGTCCTGCCTGTGCCCACCTCAGTATCTTTCCTCATCAACAGCAGGCAGCATTTCCTGGCTTACCTGGCCTCTAGAATGCCTTGGGCCACACCTGACTGGTTTTCTCAAGTTGTTCGTGTAATTCCTGCCTCCCCATTAACTTTATAAAAGCCTCTACAAGGTGGGGGACCAGGACCTCGCCTGTGAGTCCCAACACTGTGCTGGGCACAAGGAAGTAACTCAGGAAACGTATGGAGAGACTGACAGATGGGCTGACCTTATCCACAGGTTCACTTCTCAAGTCTTCTAGACTGCAGGAGAGTTTTTTCTGAGCCCTGGAAAAACACAAAAGAAAGAGTTCCTGGAGAAGGAGGTACATAGTATCATTCACACAGAGGACATTCCAAAAGTTTAACCAGTAGTCCATCTTGGGCTTAGGGTCAAGGTCAGGAAAAACCACCCTCTCATCATAACCATTACATTTAAGATGAAACTGGCCCATCTCAGGATAGCCTGGTGGGACAACACATTGGTAAGGGCATGAGAGCATCACTTAAATGCAAATCAAAAGTCCTGGCATTCCTCAAGAAGCTAGAATACTCTCAATTCTGTTGTATCAACATGAGCTGACTGTCTTGTGGTCATAAAAGATCAATGTCTACAGACTTAAAGAAAGGATAGGTGCCAATACTGCCTTGTCTGACACTCTAAGAGTGATCCAAGGAAGAGGAATTATTTTAGAGTGGAGACAAGCACATCAGCCAGCCCCAGCTCCAAAGCATTATCTGCTAGAATTTTCCAACCCTCTGCTCTGGCTCTGTGTATGCTGACCAGTCTGCTCAGAAAAATTTGCTTTCTCAGGGGCTATTTTACAGAGAATGGCACCAATTGGATAAAAAAGAGGCAATGCCACCTGTGGTCACAAGGGTCACCTTGTGATAAGTCTCCTTGGCAGTGATATTTCTCAGTTCACATGAATAAGTCAGCATCAGTTTGTACATTAGTCTCTTGTGAGTCTGGTCAGTGTGAGTTACTTCCTCCCGAGTGAACTCATAAACGAAATTTCTTATTCTGCTAAACTAAAGACTGGCTAATTGCCCTCTTTGACACAACCTTTTGCTCTGGGGCTAAAAGGCTCAGGGAAAATGGCTCTCTGGAAAGTGGGGTTCTTAGAGTGCAGGCTCTGGAGACTCAGCACCAATCTGGAGAAGCTTCCTTCATATTTGTGGCCATCTTCTCCAGATACCTTGGCTGACAGATGGCCTGCTTTTGGCAGTGTAGCTCTGTATCTCCATTACTTGGAAACGTGTTCTAAAGAGCTGACATAGGGAACTAGAAATAGGCTCATTTTAGAGGGAACCAGACAGGTGACAGCCAAGCGACCCCACAGGCCAGCCCATTATAAGCTCATTGCTATGAGGAACTTTGCCAAAGCAATTGGACCAACTTTCCTGTAGGAGAAATGGCCTTCCCTAGATAGCAAGGCTTGTCACGGGGTTAGAGTCACCCTGAGAGCAGGAAGGACATTCCAGAAGGGCTGACAAAAATGACAGGCACACCTCATGGCATGTCCTCAGCTCTGATGAGCCACGGGAGGACACAGATGAGGTGCAGCCACCTCTCCTTTGAACAGGTCTTTTCTCAGTGACAGTGACCCAGACCCTCAGTCTATGAGAAGGGAAGCCCCTCTGTGGCCAAGGGTGACAGGCACAGTTCATGACTACTCCATGGTTTTGGTTCCACTGTGACCACTGCCGGGACCTGGATTGCTGTCCTGATGGTGGAAGGGCAGGTGTGCCCAGGACATGGTGGTCATGTTCACCATGCATGGCCAGTCCCCACCCTGTCAGGAGCCCCGAGGGGCCTGAGGGCACAGTAGCTCTGGGGAATGCTTGGGCCTACCTGGTTTCCAGTGATTTCTGTGGAAGTGGAGGTGGCCCCACCACAGGAGAGCTACATCTTGGAGGCATCTGCACCAGAAAGAGAAGAGTCACTATAGAACACAGTCAATGGGGACCACCCACCATCCTTTCCCCTTCTTTGGATGACTTCTCTTGGGGAGTTACATTTCTGCCCCTGGATACACCCATGATGGCTACATCAATTCTGGTGCTTTGCTCTTTCAAGATACCAAGGAGGTGGGTGTAAATAAACAACCAGCCTCTTCTTCCAGGGCCAACGTTCACATTCTAGCAGCAGAGTCGTGACAAGAGTTCTGAGACTTGAGTCCCAAGGGCTCTTGCTGCTCCTGTCCTTTCTGAGCTTGGTCCTTCAGCTTTCCTTTCATTCAGTGAGCCACTGCACACCCTTTCAAAAACATTCCCTTTAGGCCTAGGTTAGCCAGAGTTGCTGGCAATGAGCAACAATGCAATTGATATAGTAACTCAACAAACGTGAGCAACATCTACTACCTGCCAAGCCCTGTGCTCAGTGTGGGGCAGACAAGTATGGCGCCAAGCCCTACATCATAGCATGGGGATAAAGGAGAGGGAGTGGGAAGGTTGGAAAGGCTTCAGAGGGAAGACGACTTGAGCCGAATCCTGAGAAGTGAGAATGGACTCACCAAGGAGGCAAGAAAGGAAAGAGCTCCACAGGTAGCACGGACATGAGCTAATGGTGGCGCATAAGGACACAGACCCATGACTTCAGTATTAGACTGACTGTGAAGACCATCCCTTTTCTCTAGAGCTCAGTATCTTTTTGGTCTACTATAGGAAGAGCCCTGGCTTACAGTACAGTTGTTAAAGCCTGGGCTTTTTGGTCAAATAAACCTGGCTTCAAGTCAGGGTTCTGCTGCTACTTGCTGAGGAGTAAACGAGGTGAGCCATACACTGTGCATCACAGTGACACACGGAGGTGCTGAGTGCATATCAATTACTGCTGCCTTATTCTTGCCAGCAATCTGGAATGCTTGCTTTGACTAGGACACTGGGTCACTGGGTGACACTTTTCATCTTTCCTTAATTAAAGGGTTGAGCTGGGCGGCTAAGATCCTCTTCAGTTTGGCTGTTCTGGAGTTTCTTGAACTTTTTAGAAACTAGGTTGAAGCTCCTTCTCTACCTGAGATCTGTGTCTATGAGTTTGCTTATTTGTATCAGAGATTCATATAATAAGACCAGATTTTAAACAAGCAAAAGAAGAGAAAGAAAATCTATATGCTGGTTTCAGGGTCTACAGGGGACGTCTGTGAAGTAGGAACACAGCACTTCAAAACTGGCAGCCATCCCTCTAAATGAGCGAGACCCACCCATTCATTCAACAAATACTTGTTGACTTCTACTGGGTACCACGCATTGTTGCAGACTCTGGAGAAACAGTGGCAAGTAAAAGCAACAGCACCTTTGGTCTATGCTTACACTCCAGAAAGGAAAGACAAAAAGAAACAAGAAACAAAATTTAAAAAAAAATTCCTTCCCTTGAAAGTCCAGTATCCACTATGCTGTCCCCCCAAGTGGAGCACAGGTCTGGGTCTGAGCCCCTTACTGCCCTCAGGGCTCTCCCCAAGGCTTCTGGGCCACTCCACTGACTTAAATTTTCACCTGTCAAGATTTATACCTGACAGGTGCCCGACTAGATCCTCCCTGTGCTCAGGGTAAGCTCCCAGGGCCCGCTGAAACCTGGGAAGTGAGCCACCCACATCACAGATGGCAACACAGCACCTCTTGTTTAAGTAACTCTTCGGGGCCTTTATTTGTAGTGTTCCACTTCCTGAAACTCCCCTCCAGCTCTTCCTCATTGATTGAGAGATTTCTTTCCAAAGGTCCTGGAAGCATTAATGTAGAAAAGATGATCACTATAGTGTCCTTTGTTTAGAAATCTATAACTGTACCACAAAATTCTAACATTTTTTTTCCATCATGGAGAAAGACTAAGAAATATACACAGGGGCACTGAGAGTGTGATTTGGAAGATTCTTCAGGGTATCTGAGCAACGGCTGCCAAGAAAGTCATTCCAAGGTCAAAGCTCCTGTGTGGAGCAGAGAGAAGGCACCTCATGGTATCCCTCTCCAACCTTCTCACTCCTTGGCCACAGGCAATCAGGTCCTGAGAGTGACTTGACCCAAGATCTCAAAGGATTAGAGAAAACAGGGCATCTACATATGTTTGGGGTGGGGTGGGGTGGGGTGGGGTGAGAGGGGGTGACAGGAGTCGGGCTATGCCTGTGGCTGGAAGAGGGCTGAGAAAGACCAGCTGGATGCTTCAAGCCCCTTTCTGCCCCTGCTCCAACTTTCTCAATGACTCATATCTGTCTTCTCTGCAGAGCTTCTGAACAAGGTGATGTTTGGATGAAAAGTTCTACTACTGAAAAAACAATGGTTCATCATCTTTGTTTCAGGACCCAAGTAAAATTCTTTCAGATGAGTGGGCCTCTATACTAACAGACAGCAAAAAACATCTTCATACAATTCCTTCAGTTGCCTTTAATTCTAATATGTCCTGGAAAGAAGAAGCCCAGTGCTGGAGAGTGTTTTCTTGAAGGCTCTTTGCAAATTGCACACTTAGCCAGGGATTGCATGGAATTAAAAGCCACCCTGCTCTCCACCCCGCCTCAGCCCAGACACTGGCCGCCTGTCTTGACAGGTCTCTTAGTTAGTCTCTTCCAGTTTGGGAGACACACAGAGAGGCCTGTGCTCCACATTTAGGGACCTGCTGCTCTCTGTATCTTAAGAATTTGACTTTCTGTGCCTACCACATCTCTCGGTGGGAAATCACTGTAGAAGGCAATGCAGNGTCAACCTCAAACCATGTTGGGGCTCAGGTTCTTCCTAAGATGAGGCAACAGCTCAGCCAGAGTCAGAAAGCAGCCCTCTCCTATGAAACAGCTGCTTCCTTGGGATCTGTGATGAGCCCCGGTCAATGGTGTGAACAAGGCGGGCAGCCTGGCACATGCCCCACTGTGCCCATAAGAACATGAATGCTGCCGCATGTTGCATTCAGTCTGGGCAACACTTATGAAATGCAAACAGCTCTCCCTGCCCTGTGACTTCCTGTGGGAACCTAGGCACCTAGAGGCTCAAGAAAGCCTCCCCAAGTCCCTGAGAGTCTGCGGGGAGTTTCACGTGCTCCAAGTGGCGGGCAAGCTCTGATACCCAATAAGTGCACTGAAATGATTTTTGATCCAGGTTTGACTCCCCTCACTGACTCTCTAATGGGCCCGGGAAGATGCACAGGAGATCCTCCAAGGGTGGGGGTTCCCAAGGGTTCAATGCAAAGGCTTCATTTCTTGGTGGTCTGGATAGTCCCTAAGAGTTCTGAACTGAGTGCCATTTGACAAAATTTCTGGAAATCTTAGCTGCCAATTTCCTGCAGTTCGGGGCAGTCTGACCAGTTCCATTCCCCAGCAGAAAGTCGTCCCCAAATGAAAATGAATCTTCTGGTGGGACTGCCCCTGGATTTAACATTGTAGTTGGAATACCTCTGAGGGGAAAGAGGGCTCTTACCTTGAGTTGCCATCACGATCTCCTTCACCCTCCGGTACTGGTTCAGCAGCCCCGCGAGCTCCTCTATCCGACGGTCCTGTCACAGTGCGAGAGCAGACTCAAGTGTAAACACCAGCACTGGCACCTCCACGGGGCTCCTCGGGGGGCCCAGGCTATGTTCTGCGCCTACTGAGAGGAGGTGCCACATGGAGCCTGTGGAGCATTGCAAAGGGAAACGAGGTGTCCAGGCCCTTCCCAGAGCCCGGGTTCTCTGTGGGCTGCAGCCACTCTTGCATCTCTTTGAAGACAGTCCAATCTCCAACCATAAAACAGTCCTTTCTTGACACAGCCTTGAGGAGCTGAAACAGTTGCAGAAGCTGGAAACTCTCTGTCCCCTACCGTCCTGACATAACCATTCAAATCTGCCTCCTGGTCCAAGTGTTCTTCTCTGGAGCTACACACACACACACACACACACACACACACACACGACTAAAATAAAATGGTCTATTTATCCTAATATCCTTGCCTGTTTCTTAGGAGTCTGAGGTTCCTTACACAACAGAGGACATTCCCAGAGGGATTGTTTCTTTCAGCAAAGGCCTAGGGGCTCGGGAAGCCACACAGATTCTGGAGAAAGACAAACTTGGGCATAAACTCTAGCTCTACCATCTACTGTTACCTGACCTTGGGCAAAACTACTAAAGTATGTTGTCTGTTTCCTCATCTGGGCAAACAACACTGCATGCTGCCCGGGGTCTATGATGGCTCTATTGCTGGATCACGCATGTGAGAGGTGGGTGGATTGATCTCGAGCTTTTCTAGGAGCCTAAGCAACAGCTATGACATTGGCAGTAACCACAGAGGTATTTTCCCCTCCAGACCAGCATGAACAGGCTTGGCTTTAATCTGCCTTTGAGAGATTCCATTTAGGCAAAGTTCCCAGACATCAAAGCCAAAAACGGGTGGCTGAGGTCTAGTGTCTAGGAAGCAGAAGCCACTCTCCAGACACATTCCTGAGTCAATGGCTTGATGGGCGTGTCCGTGTCCAAAATATCAGAGACCAGCAGGGACCAAACAGAGCCAGGGATGTCAGCAGGGAAAAGACAGGGCTGCCCAATGACCATCTTACCTTATCTTCATTGGCAATAATCAAAGTTTCCATCCCAATTTTCAGACGTTGAATTTCTTGGTCTAAAACAATTTAGGTGTGGAAAGAATTATTTATATAAATGCAGACAGCTACCCCCACATGCTAAGATGTTCCTCAAGTGAAAACTTGAGGACTTTCTGTGTGAACAAATTACCCACTGGCTTAGTTACTTCTTTAAAGAGCCCATAATGGTGTCTGGCATAGACTTCAGTCTCATTAAATATTTGTTGGACTAATTAAAGAGTGAACCTATCATTTTGTCTTCTCTTTATAGGCATTTGTGAGGGGGAAACAAAATGCTATTTACTCAAAGGTGACAGAGAAAAATCTTTCACAACCAACATTTCACAAGCATATACTTTATAACTTGAGTAGGCATGTGCCTGGGCTGCAACTAGACTTAAAGAAAGGCATACAGCCCGGCCGGGCGTGGCTCGGCGGTTGAGCATCGACCTAGGATCCAGGAGATCACGGTTCGATTCCCGGTCAGGGCACATGCCCGGGTTGAGGGCTCGATCCCCAGTAGGGGGCATGCAGGAGGCAGCCGATCAATGACTCTCTCATCATTGATGTTTCTCTCTCTCTCCC